CTTTATCTTTCTAGATAGGGTAGTGTACTGCTATGTATGGGGGGGGGGGTTTTGTCACAAATAGTGTGATTCTTTATCTCTGTAGATGGAATTGCACCCATGTTTGCTTTGGGTACTTGTGTTCTCAATCATTTATGAGAGACGTGGCATCAAAAAGCATCATCAAGAATGTGTAGAATGGGAAAGAGGTCAAGCCAGTCATGGGATGGGAATGATAGATAAGAAATTAATAGTGTCATGAAATATTAAAAGAAATAGGGGAAGGCTCCCAATGATTTGGATAGATATTTTATAAGAGATCTGTGAAACCGCATGAACAAGAATATCACAAAATGAGAAGAAATGGACAGGTAGCAAAATGGACATGTACCAAAAAACTACCAAAATTTTGATGCTCCTCCAAGTACCAAAATGTATAATTATCTTCCTCTTGAAGGTATAAATTCCTATGAGTATGTTTACCAGTGTCAACTTTTCTCGCAGCTAAGTGCTACCTCCTGTGCTTCATGGGGATGTGAGTATCCCACATCCCTGCTTAGTATTCTGCTAATGAATTCAATGATACTCTCAGGACCTGCTGAGGTTTGTAGGATTGTTTGCCTTGCACTAACTGGCCCTAGAAAGATGCACATTTTTGTTCTTGTGTCTACTTTTGATAGATTTCCTTTCTCCTCTCTTACTGCCAAGCTTTTAGCTATCACTTCTAGATACTCTCTGGTGGCCCTTATTCTCTCCTAATTTTGTGCTTCTAACACATTGTGAATTTTAAAAACCCATTGACTAAGTTTGCTAAAATGTTAGCAATTCATGATTCAGTGAATCTTCAGAGGCTTTCCTATAGATCAGGAGATTTAGCACAGTGACTTACTAACATCAAAATTGTTTTCTCAGAGACTTTTTATATTACCTGTTATTTTCTGATTCTTGGCAATATTGTGTGTGTGTGTGTGTGTGTGTGTGTGTGTGTGTGTATGTGTGTGCATAAGTCTGTGTGTATTAGTGAAGTTGACAAATAGTTTATCTCTGGATACCTGAAGTATAACTACAATAAGATAATTTAATGGAAAAAAATTGTTTTAAATCGCGGTATGAGCTTAAAAAACACCACAAAGCACCAAAATGGAATGGGTTAACTACTCCTATTCTCCTTCTATTGGCCAATTGCCTTCTATTTCCCGCCCTTACTTGCTTTTTCTTAGAAATAATCCTACATGAGAAGCCAGTCCTTTTGGTAAAGTTGGGAACTTTGACCCATGAAGCTCTTAAAACATTATTTCCAACTCTACTGACAGTCTTTTTCAATATGCCTGATGGATGGGAGTTGGACTATTTAATGACTTTAGACCCATTGAACCAAATACGGATTTAAAAACACACATGTACATACTAGACACATGAACTGAATACATTATTTTCTGCAGTCAAGGGTTGCTGCTTCAAACTAGCTCCCTTAGTTGTTACGGACAGTAGAATTTCTAATTAATTAAATAACCTCTTTGATGCCTTCAACACAATTTTCATAGATAAATTATCAAAACAGTAAAAGTGAAAGGTTTAATGACTGGAGTTCCCATATCAGCCCCCAGAGTCTTTACCCCTTGCATATTTTCTTCTTACAATCTAGTCTATTTGTCCTTGGAGTAAGATTAAATTTGAACTTTCCAGGAATTCTCTGTTCCCCATAATCTAGCATGTCTGAAAGATGGATGAGGTCTTGATCTGGACAGCCCTGTTTTATGAAGCACTGCTATCAGTGCACAAAGTGGGAAACTAAATTAAGTCCATACCTGAAAGATAGCATGAACTGAATTTCAAACAAGTTCTACCCAAAGCTTAGTATATAACTTCAGCTCTGACTCGACACCTGGAAAAAGTTGAACTGTCTCAGGCACATACATGGCTCCCACTGTCTCCTGGATGGCTCCAATTGAAGGTGCCACAGTAACTTCCTAATGTACAATTTTGATCATATTTAGAGCTAGCAAACTCTCAGAGGACACAGATGATATAAATCTAACATCCCTGTGTGTGTCTGTGCGTATATTAGTGAAGTTGATAGTTGATCTCTATATATTTGAACTATAATTATAATAAGATAATTTAATGGAAGAATTGTTTTAAATCATTGTATGAGTTTAAGAAATGGAAGAAAATGCCAAATTGGAAAAGGTTAACTGGGATAAGTATTCTGCAAACAGTATTTGTTTAGTAAATGTTTGTTGGATTGAATATCATCTCACTTAAAAAAAAACCCTTCAATGGCTCATTATTGCCTACCAAATAAAATTTAAAAAGTCACAGCCTTTAAGACTTCATTCAAGACCTTCCAGACTGGTTCTAATCTAAATTTCCATACTTGGTTCACACTACTGCACTACATTCATTTTCAATCTACTGGGCTTGCCCAAAGAGATATAAAATTAACAGCATCTGTTCTTCAAATAATAGCTTTGACACGCACCCTAAACTTACACTCAGTAGGGATTACTATGCTGTTCTTTTCTGAATAGATGTGGATCTCATTAAAGATGACCTATAATCAATGTATAACAGAGCTCTGGTACACGGCCAGATCACCTTGGATGGAAGCACCCAAGTGGGAGATGCCAGGGACCTGCTTCTGAGAGAAGACTTTCTGCATTCACCTACCACATAAGAGGAAGTAGCTTCTTTCTAGTGACTCTGTAGCCAGAACTTTCCACTTGTTTAAATCTGCTAAAGCATAGTTACTATCTTTCTGGTGGCATCCAGGGGTGAAGGTCTCATTCATCAACAACGTTAGCACCTTGTGCTAAACTGGGCAGGGAAGTACACCTTCCCCACTGGATAGGCCCTATGGCCCCAAAGAATGGGCTTGGGATTTTGTAATTGTTTTATTTGTCCTTTTTCAGTTCTGTTTGCAGTGAGTGGAGTCCCAGACTGAAGAACTAGATCTAAGTCAATCTTCATGGGAGGATTCCATGGCAGGATTGCCAGAAAACAAGCTGGGGAGAGGGAGAAGGGGGAGGAGGAAAGGTATCTTTGGACTTGGAAATTGGGATGTGAGCAAAGGCCATACAGAAACTGAGCTAAGCCATGAACTTAATTTCATTCCTATTCCCAGAGACTGAAGGCGGTATGGGGGGTGGATGCCCCTGATGTATTGGGGAAAATACTTGTCTATTTGTTCTAGTTATACCTTTGAAGCATGTATTACTTTAGAAAAGCTAATCTGTTAAATGGTTAAATGGGACTAGGGTGCTAGGAACTCAAAATTGTAGGAACACAATCCACGGTTCCTTGAGCCAATGGCAGAGACTAGATAACCCCAGAACTCCTTAAGTATACCAGAGAAGCCTGAGAGAGGAGTGAAATGTAACATACCTCACTCTCAGGCTGTGGGGGCCAGAGTAAGCCCAGTTACAACCACAATGTCATATACAAACAAGAACACCTAGAGAATCTCATTAGCTATAATTAATCTCTTTTTTTAAATTTAGACTTTGTATGGGAGATTACATGAGATGACAATTACATTGAGGGGGAGAGAGATAGAGACAGAGACACAAAGAGAGAGACAGAGACCAAGAGACAGAGAGAGAAAGATAGGGACAGAAAGGGGGGGGAGGAAAGGAGGGAGTCAAGAGGAGGGGAGGGAGAGTAGAAGGACAGACAGAGGGGGGGAGGGAAGGAGAGAAAGGAAGGGTAGAAGAGAGGAGAAGGAGAGTGGAAGAGAGAAAGAGGGAGGGAAAGGGGGAAATGGAGAGAGACAGAGAGAGACAGGGAGACTGAGGGAGAGACAGAGACAAAGAGACAGACAAAGGGAGAAAGATATATCTCCTAATTATATGCCTTGCTTAATATTAAGAATAATGCTTAATACTAAGAATTATGAACATTTATAGTATGATTATTTGTAGAATAATATTTATAAAATAATTACCAATATTTATCAGTTGCAAAGCAATTTATATATGCCATCACAATGGATAACCTTTGGATCATTAAAAATAAAAGTCATTTTATGGCTTTATGATCTTAATATAAGGCTAGGAGAAACCCTGTTAGATGAGAAACTTTAAAGCTGTATTTTAAACTCATAATTAATCAGTCAGTCAACAAGCATTTATTCAGCACTTTCTATGTTTCATACTACGCTAAGCGTGGGGGATACAAATACAAGCAAACTAACAGCAATCCCTGCCTTCAAGGACCTTACACTCTCACAGGGGAAGACTGCACATAAAAGGGGAGCTGCAAATGGCAGAGAAGGGAGGGAGTAATGCCTGTTTATGGAGGCATGGTGGCTAAGTCTGGGGAATCATGAAAGCCTGGTCCAGGATCTTTCCCCAGAATGGAGATTCCAGGAAGCAACAAGAAAATGAGACCACAGGAGCAAAATTAGGAAGCAGCTGAGGCATGGTGGCACAGTCTGAAGAATGAGAGATGGCTGGTCTGGGCCTGTTGAAGGCAGTAATACACTTAGTTCAGGTTCAATACTAGGATAAAATGAGGCACTGACAAACGATTTAATAGGTTTACTTTGTCCTAACATAGTAAGGACATGCAACAAGGATACAATACTTAGTTTCTATGGATATGGTCCCCCTCATTCCTATATGGAAATGCATCTGGTTATCAGGACAACATATTGTTGAAGACATGGTGACTCATGTGGTCTTCAGAAATCCATCCAGTTAGAGGGATCCCAGTTGTCCATGGCTGGAACTTTTTATATCTTTAGGTAAACAGGAAGCTGTGTTAAGGAAATTAGGGGCCAATTGGACCAGCTTTGTCTCTTCAAGGAAAGTTAATCCATGAAGAAGGAGAGAAGGAGGAGGAGCTTGCTTCTACCCCATGTTGTAGTTGGAAGAAAAGAAGTTGTATCAGAGAGATACTAGTAAACATTTGCCCTATCACAAGAACCTTCATCTGAAGGTTCTAGGAAGAACTTCATTGTTGTCATTGTTCAATTGTTCAGTCATATCTAACTCTGCAATGTCTTGAAAATTCACCCCAGAGTGCCTTGAAAGTTATATTGCCATCGGTGTGGACTTGCTCTTCATCCACTTTATCAGATCTATCTGGTCTTTTCTTCAATAAGGTTTCCATTTTCTCCTAGTCACGGTTACATTAAGTACTGAGGTAGATAGTCATTACGATGATGGAAATAGATTTTTGCTATTGTTGACTTGTTTCAGTTGGATCCAACTCTTTGTAACCCCATTTTGGGGTTTTCATAGCAAAGATACTGGAGTGGTTTACCATTTCTTTATCTAGCTCATTTTACAAATGAGGAACTGAGACAAACAGAGTTAAGTGACTTGCCCAGGGTCACACAGCTAGTCAGTGTCTGAGGCTGGATTTGAACTCATGAAGATAAGCTTTCCTGATTCTAAGTCCAGTGCTCTACCTACTACGCTGGCATATATACTAGCGGGCATATGCTGATTCTATTTTATGTGTATTTGACACACTCCTTCTGGTTTAATTTTAAGAGTCTTAGGAATGATTTAGTTTAATTCAGTCATACATAAAGCTTTTAGATGCTCTTTTGATCTTTCACTGATTTCTGGGTTTTTTGAGACAATATAGATAATCTTCTGTCATCCTCCAATGAAGTGCTTTACACATTAGTTTGTACTCTAAATTAAATTAGTCTTCTGTGTCTCTCTGTTCAGTAAGAAGATCAATTGTTTGCTGACTAAGGCAGTTTTTGTGCTCTCTTGCTCCTTTTAGTGTAGTAATTGTTTTACATTGGGTAAACATCACAAAGAAATTATGGTAATGAGTCAATGTCTATTTTTTAGTTGCTTAAAAAGGTTAAATAGGAGGTGCAAAAATTGCGTGCAGAACTTTTTAATTCTACTCTTCTAATTCGACATTAATATTTTAATTTCAATTATTTAATTACCTTTGTAAAAGAAGATTGAGAGTGAGGAGTTGAAGATGATGCCAACATTGAGGACGTGACTGACTGGTGTCCTTGACAGGAATGGGAAAGTTGAGTGCAGGGAGGTCTGGAGAGGCACAATTATGAATTCTGTTTTTGACATTTGCATTTTAGATGCCTATGGAAATACAGTCTGAAACTGGCAATAATTAATTGGGGATTTGGTTCAGGGAAGCAACTAGAGATGTAGATATAGGATCTGAGAATCATCTCCACAAAAATGATACTTGAATCCATGGGAGATGATGAAGTCACCAGGTGAATAATGTAAATAGGAATAAATAATGTAAAAGGAAAAGAGAAAAAGAACCAAGACAGAGTCTTGGAGAATATCCACAGTGAATAGACATGACATGGATGAAGACCCAGCAAAGGACATTGAAAAGGAATAGACACACAAGTAGGAGGATGATAAAGAGAGAACAGGGTCATGGAAAGCTAGAAGGGAGAGAGCACATAAGAGGAGAAGAAGGTGGTCAACAATGTAGAAGTGAAGAAGGATTAGGAGTGAGCAAAGGCCATTAAATCTGGCAATTAAGAGATCATTGATAACTTGCAAAAGGGAAGTTTCAGTTAAATGAAGAGGTTGAAAGCTTGATTATAACGGGTTTAGAAGCTGGTTACAGGTGGGGAAATGGAGGATCATGCTGTAGATAGCTTTCTTATGGAGTTTAGCTGAGCAGGTGAGGAGACATATTGGAATATTGCTATCAGGAATCATCGAATCAAGTGAGAATTTTTTAAGAACATCAGAGACATGGATATGTTTGAAAGAAGCAAGAAAGCATCCAGTGGACAGGGAGAGATGTAGAGAGAGAATGGGGATAATAGTGGAAGCAATATTCTGGGGAAGACTGGAAAGGATAGAACCAAGGGGCTTGTATTGGCAATGAAAAGGACCACTTCATCAGAGGTAGAAGTAAAAGAGAAGATGGTTGGGGAAGATGTCTGAATGATGTGCATTTGCTATTGCAGTATCTCAGAATCTGAGATTTGGAAAGGACGTTAGCCACCTTCTGGCCCAAACCAGACACAAAAGGAATCTCTACTGTACTATTGTCAATAAATGATCACCCAGCCTCCATTTGTAGACCTCCAAGAGGCAGAGAAACCTACTACCTCTTGAAGCAGCCCATTTTACTTTAGGGTAGCTTTAGTTGTTAGGAAGTCTTTTCTAACATTAATTCTAAGTTGATTTCTTTGTTCATTTCTACTGATTGCTTCTACTTCTATGTTCTGGGATCCAACAGAACAAATATAATTCCTCCTCCCATTTGAAGGGTAGCCCTTCAAATACTTATCATGCCCCTCCCATTCTTCTTTTCTCCGGGCTAAACATGCCTGGTTCCTTCAATCAATCCTCATTTGCCATGAAGTGAAGGCCTTTTGTCATCTTGATTGTCCTACTCTGGACACTCTTTACTTTATCAATGTCTTTCTTAAACAGTGGTGCCCAGAACTGAACTCAATACTCCAGATGAAGTCTGACAAGGGCAGAGCACAGTGGAACTCTCAGCTCTCTATTCCTGGAAGCTGTAGCCCTCTTAATGAAGCCCGAGATCACGTTCACTTTTTTGGCTGCCACATCATACTGATGACTCATATTGAGTTTGCAGTCCACTAAAGCCCCCGGATCTTTTTATTTTCAGAACAACTGCTGTCTATTCATGTCTCCTTCATCTTATGAAGCAGATTCCTTTGTGCCCAAGTAAAAGACTCTCCTCTTATTCCTATTGAATTTCATCTTATTGGACTCAGTTCAATGCTCTACCCTATCAAACCTTTTTGGATCCTGACTCTGTCATCCTCTGTGTTAGCTATCCTTCCCAGCTCCAGGTCATCTGCAAATGTGATAAGTGTACAATCTATGCTTCTCCCCAAGTCACTAAAAAAAGAAATGTTAAATAATATAGGGCCACACACAGATCTCTGGGTTAATCAGCCAGATTATTCCATGTTGACACTGAACCATTAACAATTACTCTTTGAGCCTAGCCATCCAACAAGCTTCAAATGAACATTTTATCATCTACTCCACATCCCTCAATCTTCTCCACAAGAAGAGTATGTGATGCTTTATCAAAGACTTCACTGAAACTTAAGTAAACTGTATCCAACAGCATTCCCCTCATCCCATAATAACCTGTCCAAAAAAAAGGAAATCAGGTTGGTCTAGTATGAATTTGAAGAAACCATTCTGATTATTCATCCCTATCTGTTCCTTTCTCTTTTTAATCAGAAGGAAGTTGGCTAGAATACAATGAATTGTTCCATTGTAATACTGAGAAACAAATTTTAACCTGAATTCAAATCCCACCTAAAATACTTACTAGTTGTGTGAGCCTGGGCAAATCAACTCCCTATCGCTCAAATTCCTAATCTGTAATATTGGGGGGGGGGGAAGGGTAGAGTCAGTGGCATTTAGGTTCTCTTTCATCTCTAAATTAGTGATGCTATGATCCTCTGAACAGCGGAAAGTCAAAGACATGAGTGGATGTAGTAATAATAAAAAGAGGTCTGGTTTTAGAACAAGAAGATCTAGTTCTGAGCCATAGCTTTGTGACTTACTGACCCTAGTTAAATCACTTAACCTTTTTAACCCTCAATACCCTCATCTATAAAATGAAGACAATAAAATGTGTATTACCAACTCATAGGGATGTTATGAAGAAAGTGCTTTGTAAACATCGAAGTTTGTGGATTATTTTTGTGGTCTAGCCATTGGTTCACTTTGTAACTTCACACAAAAGTAACTTCACTTTTCTGGGATTTGGTTTCCTTATTTGTAAAATTAGGGGATTATAATAGAGAGTCACTTATAGCTCTGTCAGATTAAGTTAACATTTGGTGATAAAGTACTAGTTAAATCCATAAGAATAAGACAGTATGCTTCTCATTCATTACTACAATGAGGCTATAAACGCACATGTGATTTCTTGAGGCAGTCTTGAGTTCAGCTTCAGGATGTCACTGGTTTTGGGTAGTCTTAAGTAATCAATTCTTATTCTGAATACAGACTTAAGTAATCCATGCCTCAGTTTCTTCATTTGTAAAACAGAGATGAGATTAACCCCTGACACCAGCTTTTTGTAGAATCAGTACAGAAAGGTGATGAGATAACAGATGTGAAATACCTTGGATATGAAATAAGATATTAATACAAATGAATGGATTAATGGACAAATGTTATGACTGGTTCTTCCAATGACTGTGAAACAAGGTAGAATGTGAAAATGCGTAAGACAATCACAAAGTGCCATGAGCTTTTCCAAGAAGAAGCCATCAATTCTAAATCAGCTTCTTCCTGTACTTTCTTGGTCACTGCTATAGAGTGCTATATAGGCCATATTCTTCAGACAGCTTGATTCTATTGTTGAAGATCGTACATCACCCAGCATCTATTTTAATAGAAACTCTCATGACTAAACAGGGACCCAGAGTTCAAATCCAAACTCATTTATTACTGTGAGACTGCCAAATCATTTTCCCTTCAGTAAGTCTCTGGGCTTCTTTTTTGTCTTTCTTTTTTTAATTTCTAAAATGAGGGGATTTACCAGGGGTGGAGAACCTGCAGCCTCGAAGCCACATGTGGCCCTGTAGGTTCTCAAGTGCAGCCCTTTGACTGAATCCAAAATTCACAGAACGAATCCCCTTAATAAAAGGATTTGCTCTGTAAAATTTGGACCCAGTCAAAAGGCCGCACCCAAGAACCTAGAAGGCCTCATGTGGCCTCGAGGTCTCAGGTTCCCCACCCCTGAATTAGATGATCTCTAAGGTCCTTTCTAGTTCTATATCTAGTTCTATATATCTATGACTGACAGAAGAAAGTACCTGTTCAACACCACCACCACAGAAGACCTGGCACTACGCACTGGAGCGGTGAGACAAAAGCATAAATAGCTATAACGTGAGATAGAATCTGATTAATAGGAAAGCAAAATAACTTCTAGTCCACAGGGAAGGGAAGCAACACAGGGAAAGCAATGTCTGAACAAGAAAGGAGAAAGATTTCAATAGACAGAGAGGGTGCGATGGGCAGAGACAGGAAGTGTGAGTTTCAGATGGTGTGCTGGCAAACTCTAACAACACAGTCCTCAGGGAAAATGTATGTATGGCATACTTTTAAAGTTTATTCAACATTATTGATATTTTGCCCATCATTTTCTTAAGTCCAAACAATAAATTAAGCCCGGATTTGTAGTGTTGGATGATTCGCGATGTGTAGATGTTCAGACTGAAAATTTAACAATTGACTCTCTTAAGCCTGAGTGCTGGCTCCAGTGCACTGCTAGTTTCAGGCAAGAGGGATATATTTAGGGCAATAACTAAAATTACTTGCACCTGGGGCAAACTATTTGCGTATAGACCAGGGGTATGTAACCTCCAGGCCTCAAGGCCACATATGGCTTTCTAGGTCCCTTGGGTGTGGCCTTTTAACTGAGTTTAAGTTTTATAGAACAAATCCTTTTATTAAGGGGATTTGTTCTGTGAAGTTTGGATTCTGTCAAAGGGTGGCACTTAAGAGCCCAGAGGGCCACATGTGGCCTCAAGGCTGCAAGTTCCCCATCCCTGGTATAAACAGGGAGAAAGGCACAGAGAATTGATGGACCACAGATACTGTAGTTCTCAGAGAGGTGATATCACCCATAACCCAAAGAGTGTGGCTTGCACCAGTGTGAAGGTGGTGGATGCAGGTGGAGGAGAAAGAGGGGTGGTATGGCGACAGGACTATGGAGGCAGTCACACTGCAGGGTGATGCAAGATGGCACAGAAGCATGAGGCAAGGTTATATGATCACAGAAAGGGACCTTAGAACTCATCTAGTGCAACTCTCTTATATTACAGATGAGGAAAATGATACCTAGAAAGGCAGTTACTTGGTCAAAGTCACATAGGTAGTAAGTGTCTGAATTAAAATTCTGGCTCTTCTACTTACAATCTGTGTGACCTTGAGCACTTTTTCCATTGTACCACAAAGACTGTCAGGAGTAGGGGATACTAGTCACCCTAAGGAGGAGGCACAGCCTCTCCCACGACCCTGATTTTTTCATCCTGCTATTGGCAGCCCCATAGTAGTTACAGAGCTAGAAAAATGTTAGACACAGTAGTTAGGGAATTTCTATTCTTTCACAGGAAATCAAACAGTGTGCTTTGTTTTACCAGGCCATCATTGGGCAGAGAGCAGAGTAGATGCTATTACCATAGTTCTTACTATTTTCACCTCATCCACTCCCTTAATTTCAGGCAGAGCTGTATTTTGACCCTCCCTGACAGATGGAAAGGGGCAGGAATTATATATGGAGTCCTAAGAATACATGACTGGGAAAAACTGACCTTGTTGGATTAGTGTTTGAACTCTACATGTTGTGACTTCCATCCATCACTGGGTCAGATCTCTTAGCAACTCAGACAAGTTTATCTTGCCTGAGATTAAACTCACCCAATAGGTCTTGAAATTTGAGTAGTCAAACTCTGCAGCTGGAGGCTAGAGATAGCCTTGTGCAGCTACTCCCCATTAGATGCTGCTTAAAGGCTGTTGGCCTCTACTATGTCTTCCTGGGGGTATGACAGGGCCCCCTGTCTCAAAATGTTTTGTCACTTTGTTAGTTGTCTGGTTTGGCTCAGAGGTAGCAGGAAACCATTATGGAGACTGTAACCATAAACGAAAACTAAAATACCCATTGATATAATTTTACAAGCTCAGTTGATGAGGCTATTAGATAGGGGTTAATTATTTTGACCCATCTCTTATTATTAGACTATCTAAATGGCAAAAGAACATAAAGGGCATCCTATCTGAAAGCATGGTATCCCAATATAAAAATCAGAAAATGGCCTTCATCCATTTCACATGGTTTGTTTCCAGACTTACTGTACTTTGTTCCTTTTTATGAACTCTATATTCTGACCAGACTAGTCTACTTACTACTCTCCAAACTCAGCATTCCGTCCCCTGCTTCCAAAAAATTATCCCCCATGCTCCTAACCTCTACCTCCTAGAATCCCTAACTTCTACTGAGGCTTAGTTTATATACCATCTCAGACAGTAGGGATTTCAAACTTGGAGTACATATACCCAGGGAGTTGAAAAGCTTTTTGAGAGTTATAGAGAACATAAATAACTATATTAAGTAATTAAGTGATCTTATGTGTATCTGTATGGTAAACTCTGGAACTTAGTTCTTTCCACATTGAATAGAGGATTCAGAAATAATTTGTTATGTGCATATGCTTTATAAATTCCAGGATTTATTTCTTTTCATAGAATATAGAGTACAAGAAGGTCTTTATAATGTGAATAGACATGATAAATTCTAGAATTTGTTTCCTTTCAATAATGAATAGGGGATATGTAAAAATTCCTGAAAGGCAAAGAAAGATTGGAAATTTCTGTCCTATGGTTATTATTCCTCACCCATCTCCTTAAATTATCATGTATAGACATGTTATATCTACCTAGTAGACTGTAGGTTTCTTGAAGTCAGGGACTATTTTGTTCTTCTTGTTTTCCCAGAAGTTAGGATAATGTCTTGTGCATAAGAAGCACTTAATAAATTCTTTTGGGACCAGGCCTAGTGCTCCACACCAGTAATCCCTATTATAGGGAAGTCTGAGGCTAATAAATCTCTTAAATTCAGGAATTCTTAACTATAATTGGCTATGCCAATCAGGTGTCCAAACTAAATATGGCATCAATGCGGTTAGACCCAAAGATGGCCGTAGGTTAGCTAGGAAGGGGTAAGCCTAGCTTAAAGACAGAACAGGTCAAAGTCCTATGCCAAAAAGTGGTGGGATCAGAGCTGTGAGTGAACGTAGACTTTCAGTGTGAGTGAGAAGAAGAGAGAAAGAGAGAGAGAGAGAGAGAGAGAGAGAGAGAGGAGAGAGAGAGAGAGAGAGAGAGATTCTTGTTGGGTCAGAGTAATGAAATTGAACTGGGGAAACTAGAAATCTTTTTTCTCATTTTCTGACCCATTCAATTCCATTAACTTTGGAGAAGACCTGGAGTTTTCTAGGCTAGACTCTGTTTATTGCTTCTAACTCATACTTTTTTCTGCTCTAGCCTCATGTCTTTCTAACCCTGCCAGTCTTGTCTTATTACCCCACAGCCCTAATTTAGCCATAATCTCCTTTAAGATCTAGATAAAAGTGTGAGTCCTCCCAGAAATTTTTTTCTCCCCAATTGACAGCAGCCCACTCTGAATCAAACCCTGTAAATGATATCCCTTGAAGGGATATGCATTTTGTCTGATCTTGATCTGCTTTCTACGTTTAAAGTCATTTAATTTGCATATTTATGGTATTTTAAATTAAGTTTAAGCTTCTGTTGGAAGAACACCATGTTTTACAATTCTTTTATATCAGTTAAGAAGGATGTATAACAAGGATGTGATAGATAAATACATTTAAGAAAGGAATAGCAGGCAACAAAGTGGTCCAGTGGTAGAGTACTAACTTTCTAATCTCAGAGTTAGGATGACCTGGGTACAGGTCCTGCCTTTGATACAAACCCATTTTGTGATCCCAGGTAAATCATTTAACCTCTCAGTGCCCCAGGCAACTTTACTAAACTGCAGAAAGTTGACAAACTTCATTGTTGGAGGAGTTTCCACACATCCATGAAATCATAGGTATAGCCCTTCCTCCTACCCCTTGCAACAACCACAGCAAAATGTGAGAAGAAAAGAGGGAAAGAAGGGAGAAGAGGTTCAATGGGCCCATTCCTCATAAGACCTCATTGATGAGGTCTTTGCTAGAATATAAAAGTCTTTGCTAGAATATAAAAATTAAGAGACTTTGCTCCTGAATCAGTTCCCTTCAACAGGATAGAGTCTGGACATGGAGGAAATGTAATGGAGAAGACCAAGGGAGACAGAAAAAGTGAGTACTGACTGTCTCTTCTGTCAAAGAAATCCCTGCTGAATTTAAGTACTTTACAATGATCATTCCTAACAACGTATTTTACATAATTCTCATTTACGGCTTCCCATTCTTATGAATGGGGCGCCTCGGTAGCACAGCAGATAGAGCAATGGGCCTAGAGTCAGGAAGACCTGAATTCAAATACAGCCTCTCATACTTACTATCTGTGTGACCCTGGGCAAGCCACTCAACTTGTTTCCCTCAGTTTCCTCATCTGCAAAATGAGCTGGAGAAGGAAATGGCAAACCACTCCAGCATCTTGCCGAGAAAAACCCAAATGGGGTGACAAAGAGTTAAACACAACTGAAACAACTGAACAAGAACAACAACATTCTTATGAATAAAGTCTCTATTATTATCTCCATTATACACAAGAAGAAGTCTAAGACTTTAAGAGTTTATAAGAATCTATCCCAAGTCTCTCAGTGGAAGATAAACATGAGCAAATTCCTGTTCATGACTCCAGGAAAATTTCAACTGAACAGGGAAATCCTAGATGTCTCAGAGACCTCACTTTTAAAAGACAGCATGGCATAGTGGACAAAATGCTGGGCTTGGAGTCAAGAAGTCTTCAGGTCTGAATCATATCTCTGATACTTAGCTGTTCATATAAGCATAAATCACTTAAACTATCTGATCTCTTCATCTATAAATGTGCACAGTAAGGTCTACCTTAGGTGATTGTTTTAAGTATCAAGTGAAACAACAAACATTAAAGCATGATAAAATATCCAGTTGCCGTTCATCTTTCCTCTCTACCCTCTTCACCATTCCTATTCCTATAAAGATTATTCTAGAGTAGTCTGGACAGCCTAAAACTACTTGGTATAGTTAACAGAGGGCTAGATTTGGAGTCAGGGATATGTGGGGTCTAATCCTTGCCAGGCCTGGAGTCAGGAAGATCTGGGTTCAATATGGCCTCAGACATTAGCTGTGTGACCCTGGGCAAGTCATTTTACCCTGTTTGCCTCATTTTTCTCTTTGGTAAATGAGATGGAGAAAGAAATGGCAAACCACTTCAGTTTCTTTGCCAGGAAAAACCCAAATGGGGTAACAAAGAGTAGGATGTGACTGAAATGATTGAACAACAATCCTTGCCTCTTACACTTACTAGCTATGTGACCCTGGTCAAGTCACTTAAACTCTCTTAGTCAATGTTTTCTCATTTGCAAAATGTGAATAATGATAGCATCTACTGAATAGGGTTGGCATAAGAATCCAATGAGATAATGTAATATAAAATGCTTTCCAAACCTGAAAACAATATATAAGACGTTGTTGACTGCCTTTTCCTCCTGGATAGTCTTTCCTCTCTACTAATCTCTCCTGTTTCCAAACACTCTTTAGGGAGAGATCCATGAAGGGAAAGAACAGACTTTCGAAGGTATACACGTATACTTCTTCAGCACACCTCTGATTTCCAACTTGCCAACTTCAGGGAGTTTCCCTTTGAGTGACATAAAGGCCTCACTCTCTTAGTTTAACTACATCATCAAACCATTGGGATGTCTATTTTCTGACATGTTCTAATCTGTACAATTTCTGGTTTCTATTTGTTCTCATTTTAAGCCCTCATAACCTGTTGCCTATTATATTACTGCCATTGCCTCCTAATTGGTCTCCCAGCCTCAAGTCTCTCACAACCCCAGCCCCTCATAGACATTATTGCCAAAGTAATTTTGCTAAAGTACAGATGAGATCAAGTGACTCCTCTACTCAATCCACTCTAAGATTTCTCTGCTGCCTCTAGGATAAAATATAAACATCTGTTTATCTCTTAAAGTCTAGACAATCTGGCCACAATCTAGCTTTCTAGCCTCAATTGGACATTATCCCCCTTCCTGCATTCTCTAATCCAGCCTCCTCTCTGTTCCTTAGACATGGCACTCCATTTCCCATCTTTGTGTCTTTGCAATAGACATCCCATATCCATCAGCTGTGCCCCCTCCTTAGCTATACCTCACAGAGCTCCTCTCTTCTTTTATTCAGATTGAGCACCATTTTCTGCATGAAGATTTACCTGATCCCCCTAACAGCTTTAACAATTTTGTATAGGTTTTGTATTTTTAGCTTTATCTTATGCTATATATACATATATGTATGTATATAAGTATATATATACATATATACATATATGTATGTGTTTGTATGTATATACGTATATACACATATGTATGTGTTTATATACATATACATATATGTGTTCATATATATGTATGTATATATACTTGTTATCTTCCTTATTAAAATGAAAACTCCTTTCCATTAGGGATTATTTATTTCTTTGTACATGTATCCCCAGTGTTCAACACAGCTCCTGGCATATAGTAGGTACTTAATGAATATTTGTTGATTGATTGATTGTCAGAAAGGAAGACATTATTCATATCATGAGACACTGCAAGGGTCCCTCCTCTTTTCCAATATGCCCCATTTATCCCTAGATTTATTTGTTTAAATGCAAATAATTTCTCAACCTCAGGGGTGATCCCAAATCTTGCACCCAGGGTGACTCTTCAGTGTTGCAGTTTGCAGATGAAGGGATAATAACAAACCACTTCTGTATGTCTCCAGCACCTTAGAGTTGGATGGTTCCAATAGGGTATACCAGTGCTCCTTTGTTCCTTGAAGAACAGCAGCAATCAGAGAAGGGCTCAAGATTGCAGATATAACTAGGGTAAAGTAATGGGACTATGGCTTAGAATACCAAATTTGTAGAGCACTGAATTAGAAACAACTGAGTTTATGACCTGGTAAGCAAGAAAAAAATAGTTAAAATAGGGAGCTATCAGATGGAAGGAAGTGGTGATCTGTTTGTCACAATGTCATTTGTTTCAAGGGCAGCTTGTAGTGTATGCCCTTGGTCTAAAATTTTCTAGTTTCTTTCTTTTTTCTTTTTTCTTTTTTTTTTTTTTAGTGAGGAATTGGGGTTAAGTGACTTGCCTAAGGTCACATAGCTAATACAGGTCAAGTGTTTGCTCTGAGACCGGATTTGAACTCAGGTCCTCCTGACTTCAGGGCCGGCACTCTATCTACTGCACCGCCTAGCTGCCCCTTAGTTTCATTTCTGCTAATAATAATTATAACTAATATTGATATAGCATTTTAAGGTTTACAAAGCATTTTGCATGTTTTTTAAAAAATTTGATCCTCACAATAACTCTCTGTGTTAGGTACCATTATTACCCCCATTTTACAGATGAGGAAACCAAGATTGATAGGTTAAGGAACACACCCTGAGTCACACAGCTAGAAAGTATCTGAAGAGGATTTGAACTCAAGTCTTCCTGACTGCAGGTCCAGCACTCTATGCATGTGTTGGGCCCATCTAGCTACTCATGATTGTGCCAATGCAACTACAATTACTTGCAGCTTGCCTACCTCTCTCAAAAAGGCCCATGGAAGATAGTTTGCTTCCATGAGCCCTCTTAACTATGCAGAAAGATAAGGAGGGGCACAGAAAGATGATCTTCTCTAGAAGAGAGGTTCATTCCCTAGAATTTGGCTAAATGTAGAGGGTCAGGATTAGGCAGAGAAAGAATTGGGAAGACAGCTTAAGTTAGCTTGAATGACTAGGCCAATTTTAGCTTGGATGGATGCTCTCACTCAAATGAGAAATCCCTGCTGGCTTCTCAGGTGGAGATGTAGAGGTTTCAAGTTTTAAAACATTTGGCAAGAGTCTTATGGATTTCTCTGCCATAAAGTCAATGGTGAGAGCCCATGCGCTCCAAGCCTAAGAGAAATCTTGATGGGTCCACATACAAACAGGCAGGAAACCAAAAAAGTAATTTAATATAATCCCTAAAGAGAAAGGAAGGATTGACTGAAAGGAGGGCTTATCATATCCATTTACCCCAAAGGCCAGTTCAATCTTAATAAGTGCTTAACAAATTTATAGCATTACATTTCACTGAATTCATTCGTTCATAACAAAACTATTTTACGTATTTGCAGATAAAAAAGACAAGAGGAGGAAAGCCTTGGGACCTCTGGTTCAGGGGAGATGAGGTGATGAGAACACAAAACTGTGGGAAAGCAGAACTATTTAAATCTTACTTTACTTCTGATTTCTCTGCCAAGAAGAATGATCTTTGGCCTAGAAAGCATAGGGGAGAAAAAAGGGTTAGCAGAGACTTGAAACCCAAGATAAGTGAGGAGATGGCAAGAGAGAATTTAGATGACCTCAATGAGTTCAAGTCATCAGACCTAAATGAACTCCATCCTAGGTGACAGAAAGAACTGGCAGATATCATCGCCAGGCCACTGTCAGCAATCTTGGAGTGACTGTGAAGAATGAGAAATGATCCCACAGGACTGAAAGACAGCATATGTCTTGATTTTCCAAAAAGCGAAATCAGAGTCTGTAAACCACAGGCCAACAAGCTTCATTGAAATTCCTGTCAAGTTTCTAAAACACATTAAAGGTATAGTTTATGGTCATATAGAAAGGGAAGTAGTAGTGATCACCAGGGACTCGTAGGGCTTCACCAAGAACAAGTCATGCTAGACCAAAGTAAGTGGATAATGAGGGGGGAGAGGTGAGAGAGGGAAAATAGAGACAAGAGAGGGAAAGAAGGAAGGAGAGAGAGAGAAAAGAGAGAAAGAGAAGGTAAGAGAGAGAAGAAAGAGAAAGAGAGAGAAGGAGAGAGAGGAGAGAGAGAAAGAGAGAGGAGGGTTAGTGTTGCACAGGTCAACCCATGGATTTGAAACAGAACTTCATTCTGCCCCCTGCCCACTTCCCTAGGTTATCATGGAAAACCAAAAGGCAGGAGTTTGTTTTGCCTAAGACTACAGCACATATGACTCCCAAATATACCTTATCAATATCTAGGTCTATCAACACAAATATAGATATCATCTGAGCTCCATTTCTATATTACTAATGAAGAAAACTCAGATTGATTCTACTTTATAATTTATTTCATTCTGTATTAACACTGACATTTTTGTAACTGCCT